ATATCAACCTATTCAATGTACGTCATCTTTGACTCCACCCACAACCACACCTACCTGCACAAGATACGTGACTTGTGTGAGTAGTTTTTCTTTATAGCGATAAGGTTCGATGACCCACCCACTCGTCATGACCTAGTAAAACTTTGTATATTCTAGTAATCTCGTTACATCTCTCTAACCTTTCCTCTTGTGCAGCTAGGTTGAGGAGGACACTCTGGGACTTCAACAGAAGCACCAACTATAATCTTCTTATTAGGCTAAGAGAGGGAGAGAAAGAGAGAGAGAGAGAGAGGGAGGGAGGGAGAGAGAGAGAGAGAGAGGGAGGGAGGGAGAGAGAGAGAGAGAGAGGAGAAAGGGGGAAGGAGGGACAGAGAAAAGGAATAGAAATAGAGGGGTAATATTCACATTATGTTCATGGTATAATATACTTTATTTATGTACCTCTGATCTCTCACATACAAGTATACAGAAATCCCTTGATTGTCTTAGGAAACATTGTGTAGTTTCATGTTGCATGTGTACTAAACAAATACAATACATCACATGACAATCACATGAGAGGGTCACATACAAATGTAAAGATCCGAGTCTATCTGCTTCACTACATGCAACTCCTAATAATAATAATAATAATAATAATAATAATAATAATAATAATAATAATAATAATAATAAAATAACTAATAATAAATTGATAATAATAAATTACTTTTAACATGTTATCGAATATGTATCTTTGGTTAGGATTACGGACGCAGTTATAAACTTCTTGAGGTGACAAATCAATTAAACCTTTACCAATAAAACTGAGAGGAAAGAAAAAATTCAAACACATATATACATGTACATGTACATGTGTCTCTTACCTATGAAAAGGTGATTCGCTGACTTTCTTTTTCTTTAAAATGACAATTACATCTTTCTCAATGCCTTGAAACCTAATAACACACAATACATATACAGTACATGTACATGTAATGACACGTCCATTGCCACTCACTTCCATCCATTTGATTGGTCCCTGTATGTTATCAAGGCAGGCCTTCAGTTCGGCTACAGTGCAGCTGGACTGACCTGCCCCTCCTCCTCCGCCTGGGCCTGATAACTCAGCATGTTGTGTATCTTGTCAAGCGACATTGGACCGAGGTTGGTTAACATGGCTGTGACATAAGACCAGACCGCCTGTGGGGTACAGAGAGAGAAGCATTTATAACAATCATCAAACAATAAAATTAAATTCTAGGAAAAATTTCAAAATATATACAATACAGAAGAAAGTACCGTATACCGGTTTATTTTTGCGGTGGAAAATTTTCGCCAATCTTGCATTTCTAAGATTTAGCAGAATAAATTTCTGTGAATTGCCTGCAGACCGCACCATGTGGCAATGGAGAGTAGAATTTCGTGGTGAAAAATTTTTATGAATGATCACCAAACTGCGAAATTCGCGAAAATATTTTACCACAAAAATAAACCAGTATACGGAACAAGTGACAATATTTGTGTATACTTCTAAATCGTTTTCTTTTTGGCTTTTCATGGAAGACATTGCCGACTCTTCCTCAAACACGCCCCCTAATAAAATAATTAGCCATGCCTACCTCTTTAATACTTACCTTCGTGATAAGTATCGTCCATTCCTTCTTTCTCCAATATCTTAAAAACCTCGCCCTCCTTCTCTTCGCAGAGTACACCCTGCCCCGCCCAATAGAGTAAGTGACGTCTTATAACCGAAGGTGTGCTCTCTAGTTTGGTACTCAGGTCCTCGACACTCCATACACCTTAGAATGAGAATGGAAAAACAAGAATAGAAAAACGAGAATGAAAAAACAAGAATGGAAAAATGAGAATAGAAAACATCAAGAAATGGAATCTAAAACCATGTACATCATGTACATGTACAATAATAAAAATATAATAAAATGCACTAGTTATTAAAGCTAAACATAGCTATAGCTTAGCATGATAAGTACAGCATGGAAAAAACAGTTTATTTACCTTAAGCCCACTATTTTTAGCGTCTACTAAATTTAGCTATATTAGTGAGAGAGCTTTAAATCGCTAAATTAAATAGACGCCAAAATAATTATTATTCATTATAATGGTTATTATTTATAGTTAATTTGGTTAAAACGCTAAAATTAGTAACGCTAAACATGACTTTTGCTGATTTTGCTAAAATTAGTAGACGCAAATAATAGTAGGCTTAAGGTACTTACTTTTATTCTGGAACTGCCATATCACACTGGCTCTTGATGGAGACACTTGAAAGTTGAGTATCTGATCATTGACTTCTAGTTCCAGCTGGACCTGCCCAAGATCATGGCACCATTTCAACTCCCTCATCCCTTTTATCTCTTGAAAGGATTTATTATAATCGTCAAGCTTTCTAGAAGAATAAAGAAAGAATTTATTTTAAAAGTAACATTTCTTATTATTGATACTTTTGAATAAAAGCNTGGTAGCTTCATTGTTTCTGTCCTAAACGAAGGCCAAAAAATATGCGAAAGAATGAAAGAATTAATAATCACATCATTTTCATGATCATCGCCATCACCCTAAAATAAT